CAAAACTACAAAGCTTTTGCGTCCTTGGCATAGCAGTAAAATTGTGTGAAAATTTCATCGAAATCTTAGCAGTACTTCTCAAGTTATAGAAGGTTATACATAAGATAGCGCACAGACTGAACAGACAGACAGACCGACGGAAATGAGTGGCATGGACATATCTCATTTTTGCAAACTTTCACGATTACAATACTTCCACGCCAGTAGGGGTGGGAAGTATGAGACATTGTGTGAAAAATGTCACACAAAAAGTTAGAGGAAATAAAATTTTCAGTGGGATGTCGCGTTTAAAGCACTGGCTGAAGTTGTTGCCTGCGGGAAGTATCTGGCTGAATATTGCTTTGTAATAATGTTTTACAAAGTATATATATATATATATATCAGCTATCAGAATTTAAGTAAAATTTGCTTTAATTTTACTGAACCTTTCTCACATGGTACCAGCAAATCAGACCACTACCCAACTTAGCGGGTACCAGCCAAGGGCGTACCCAGCTCGAAACGGAAGGGGGCACCTTCTAAAAAAAAGTTCCACAAATCATATCTACATAACTATGTTTGAAATTTTTCTTTCTATTTGCATTCCATTTATATACAGGTGTTCAAATTCGACCCTCACCATTGCGATCTCGGAAACTGTAAGTTGCTTAAATGGGGGCAAAGTTGCGTATTCAGGCCTTGTCGTCAGTCGTTCCTACAACTGTAGGTCGCCCTCCTTGATTTTCAGAGTATTCTAGATTTCTACTGTTCCGTATCAGCGTCAGCGTTCTCCTAGTTATGTTGTCTTTCTGAATTGTGGGAAATTTCAGGCTGATAAGAATGCATGAACAATCTGATGCAAATAGATAGTTGTAACATAACCTCAAAATAGAGCGCCTTTCTGAAGGATAAGAAAAACTATGAAAATCAATGAGGCCATAAAGGCATCCAACAACAAACTGTAGAAACGACTGACGATACAGCCCTAAGATCTAGGAAGCCGCGTTTTTTTCGCAGGTTTCGCAAGTCGCCTCATTATTGAAATACACACCTTTAGTTGTTTTGTAACATCAATGAATACTTACATAAAAAAACATTGCGATCTCGGAAACTGTAAGTTGCTTAAATGGGGGCAAAGCTGCGTATTCAGGTAATCAACAAAGGCTTTGGCGTCAGTCGTTCCTACAACTGTAGGCCGCTCTCCTTGATTTTCAGAGTATTTTCTCTCCTTCAGAAAGGCAGGGTGTTTCTAGATTTTTACTGTTCCGTACCAGCATCAGCGTTCTCCTAGTTATGTTGTCTTTTTGAATTGTGGGAAATGCAAATAGATATTTGTAACATAACCTTAAAATAGAGCGTCATTCTGAAGGATAGGAAAAACTATGAAAATCAAGGAGGCCATAAAGGCATCCAACAATTGTAGAAACGACTGACGATACAGCCCTAAGATCTAGAAAGCCGCGTTTTCTTCGCAGGTTTCGCAAGTCGCCTGATCATTGAAATACACACCTTTAGTTGTTTTATAACATCAATAAATACTTACATAAAAAAAACAAGTTAATACTAACAGTTATGAACAACACGCTCATCGCACCCAGCGCTAATTCGTTCCTTTTCTTGTTCCCCATGCTCTCTTACCTGAAAATGAAGTCAAACTTGTTAACTACGTTCTATTGTAGTCTGGGAGCTAATGTAGCTCATTAAACTTTTTGTTCTCAAACTTACGTTCCTCTGAGTGTGTCGAAACTTTTTCAAGTACGTCACTTGTCTTCCACGGAAGAAAAAAAAAGTCGGTTAAATTTCGAGCTTTCTCTGCCAAGCAAAGTGCAAGATAAGTAGTATAGCATATTTTTAGTTATTTGACAAACGACATGACAGTACCTAAATATAATTCATGAAAAGCCAGTGGCATGCTTGTAACAATTTTGGAAGAAAGTTCGATACATTGACTGAGTGACAAAAAAGGTAAACACCTACATGCGAGTATGTTTATCCGATTTTAATAAATTTTGGCATATATGTTCAATATCCCTTACTAATAAAATGATTAAATTTTCAGCTTGATTCGTCAACTGACTGCAGAAGCTGGTTCAATAATGTGTTGTAGGATCCACGATTTCTTATATACACTAATTGACATGCCTGGACATCATGTTGATAAGGTGGTCGATATCCTGTTGGGGTATCTCATTCCAGGCTACTGCAACTTCGTGAGTAAGAGCTGCTAAAGTTTGTGGAGGGTATTGCAAATTCAAGGGCCTGCGACCTATCATGTCTCAGACAAGAACGATTGGAGATAGGTCAGGATGAAATAACATATAGGTAGCTATAACACAGATACAAGCTACGAGCAAAGATTGTATGTAGCAAAGCCTCACAAATATCAATTAGAAAGATCTTATACTTTCTTAGTGCCTACACTTTATGAATCTCCTCCTACAGTTATAAAACATTTGCGATCCAGACATACGCTTAAAAAATATTTAAAAAGATGGATTTACTCATTAGGAAGGAATATTTACAAAATTATTGCGAGCGTAATCTTCTTACTCCCTACTTGATTTCTATTCCAATTTCAAATTTTATAGTATTAAAATGAGACGGTTACAGCATACAACTGATCCATGTACAGGCATGCCCTCCTATTTTGAGCAAATGAATATTGTTACTATTATTATTCTAAAAATATATGTTATTATACACATTTTAAAACAAAGCAAATCAGTCTACGACTTTGTGTTTAAGAGGAAAAATATGTTTTTCAAAGTTTCTTCATCCTCTAGTGCAGGGTAGGCGAACCTTTATGGATCAACGTGTCATTTTTTTAAAGAAATGTTTAATGAGGTCATAGACGTGCCATCTAATAATTTTGACTTAGGAAAATTGGGAAAATAATAATAATAAATATTATCAACTCTTTATTAGCTACAAAAAGGTACATTTTGCAATGTTTCAATTAAATTCGTAATTTCAGTTAAAGTAAAATTAGTGTGACTTCTGTTGTTGCAGATTAGATGATAAATAATTTATATCAGGGTTGTAGGATGTTACTTTTAGCAGAATGCATGCTGAACTGCATTCGTCTGTTAAACGGTTTCTAACCGAGTCTTTACTATTGTTCGTTTCTGAGAATAATGACTCGCAAGCATATGTAGACGAAAATATAATAATAATAATAATAATAATATCGTCTTTATTCACAAAGATACAGAGTGCGATTCATTATAGCGAAGTTTAGCTAAAGCTACTCTTACACTTAACCATATGAATACGAAAAAAAAGACGGTATAGGAGATACAAAAAAAAAATAAAGTTTGGCTATTACAATGTCATGTCATAATAGTATTGAAAGCAATTCAATCAAACAAGCAACTAATTTAAATCCTTACAAGCATATGTGCCCATAAACTAACTTATAAATGTATTATTATCAAAAATTAGAAAAAGAAGAAACATTATAATGAAGAGCTCTCTAAATGTAACCTAACATGCTTACGGAAACAAGACAGATTCATGGTTTTGTAATAATCAGGAATATTATTGTAGCGACTAGCAGCATTATAGGAAAATGAGCGTTGGAAAAGCGAGGTGACGTAATGGGGTATTCAAATATTTAATGTATATCTAAGAGTTTTGTTATGTATTTCATTAGAAAAAATAAGTTTTTCTCTTCGGTATTTTGTTGTAAGCATGGCTAACATGGTCGTATTTTCTTAAACTACACGTGAATGTGAGGCAGTTGTTTTGAATCACTTGTAAACGTCTTTTAGTGAGCTGATCCAAGCAAGGCTGGTATGGAATATTGCAATAATTGATAATTGGAAGAATAAGGGATTCAGCGAGCTTTTTTCGCAAAGTAGAAGGCAGAACACGTCTATTTGCATATAAAACACGTAATTTCCAATAGGATTTTTGTAATATGCTAGAAACATGACTTTTAAATCTTAGTTAATATCTAAAATGACACCAAGTATTTTAGACTCATTACTAAATTCTACTCTATCTGATCCAATTTTGGGATGAAATGTTTGGAGGATGCACTCACGTTTAGTATTAGAGCAGAATAACATGATTTTGGATTTAGAGGAATTCATCATCAAATTGTGCTTTATAGAATAGCTATAAACTACATCAATATTCTCTTGTAACTCGACGGCTGCTTGTTGATCATGTGGATCAAAATGATAGAGCAACTGGGTATCGTCTGCGAATGACTGTATTGTAGATTTAGCTACTACAGAAGGCAAGTCTGCAATATATATTATGAATAATTAGGGTCCCAAAACAGATCCTTGTGGAACACCAAATATGATATTGGTAGAGTTAGAAAAAGTATTATTAATGACAGCACATTGGGACCGATTAGCTAAGTATTCCGTGAAAAACGATATAGATATATTATCAAAACCTAAATACTCCAATTTAGCAAGAAGCAGCTGATGACTCATGACTCATTATCTGTTATATCAAGCAGCGCGGTAGTAGTAGAGTAAGATTTGCGGAAGCCCGATTGATTTTCTGGCAATATTCTGCATAATTCAACATACTCGATTATTTGTTGCCGAGCTAATTTCTCCAGAACTTTCGATAATAATGGCAGAAGGCTTATAGGCCTCAAATCAGAGAGAGTTTCCGGCTTACTATTTTTGGGAACAGGTATTACTAAAGCATGTTTCCATGCTTATGGAAAATAACCAATTTCCAAGCATAAATTCAAAATATGTGTAACGTGGAATAAAACTCGAGGGAGACACAAAGTTAACATAACATATCAAGACTCATTCCATCAGAACCCCTTGAACCAGATTCAATCTGCTGGATGGTTCTGTAAATTGCATAGGGATCAACGACTTTAAACGAAAATTTAAAATTATGATACCTGTTACGTTTGTAGAAATTAAAGGTATCGTCATCTAGCTCACCCGAATCATAAACAGTTGTGAAATAATCATTGATCAAGTTTGCATCATTGAGAGTATCGGGTATCAGAGGCCTCGAAGAAAAATTAAGATTTATACTCCTCAATCCAGCCCAGGTTTTTTAGACTGCCTGCTTCTTTGAACATGTGAGAAATAAGCTGCTTTTTCACGCCGGAAGGAAACTAGAGCGAAATTCCTCAACTCCTTATAATAGCAGGAGCTTTCCCGAGTTTTTTTGGCTTCATGGTTAGACAGAGCAGCATCTCTTTCTTTAAATATTTGCTTAAGCCCATAAGTAAGCCATGGAGCGTGAGGTTTATTGACTCGTATGATTTTTGACGGAGAATGTTTATTGAAGAGTTCAGTTATCAAATTATTGATGAATTCTACTTTTTCGTCTATTGACTGCAGATGAAATATATCATCAAATGGAAGATTATAAAGGTCCCGTAGAAACAATGCCTCATCGAAATTAGTGAAATCACGTAACGATATGTACTTCTGTTTCATTTGATAAGGTAGAATCTGCATTGTGCACGAGACCATCTTGTGGTCAGATATATGATGAGCATAAAAAATAAGGCAATTAGTAAATGATCCAGGATGATTTACATATATTGGATCTAAGAGGCTTCTACTGCTAGCTGCCACCCTAGTTGGTGATGAAACCAATTGTGCGAAGCCATGAGTCTCTAGACATGCAGATAGGGGATTGTCAGGTTCTAATAAGTAGACATTAACGTCACCCAATATAATGTTTTGAAAAATGCTTGAGTAGTGTGACACCGTGTCATCTAGTATAGCAATGCAGTCATTGTGGCTCTGGGATGGAGGTCGATATAATACACATACAACAAAAATTGATTTTTTATATGTAATCTTAATCCATAAGTGGTCCAAGCACTGAAGATCGTTAAATGCCACATCAAGAAGCTCTACATTTAAAAAATATTTGACATAAATATCAATCCCACCACCACGTGATCCTCTGACTGTACGGATAAAGTTATAGCCAGCGATGCTGACAGACTCTGACGGAATGAGATCTGTAAGCCAAGTTTCACTGATAGCAAATATATCAGTCATCAAATCGAATAAGTTCACTGACAGCATCAAAATCGGAGAAAACAGAACGTACGTTGAGATGACCTAATTTAAACTCAGTAATAACCTGTCTAACCATAACTTATCCTGTTTTGTAAGCTAGTCATATAATTTTGATAAACGGCACAATTTTTATCAGTGGCTTGATGATCAGTACATAGTTTGGCTTTATACCTATTATTATACCTTATACAGTTAGAACACAATTTAATATTAGACTGAAATGCCCTTGTAAAATGATTGTCCGAACATTTAGAGCAGTCAGGGTCGGATTTACATCTACTAGCAAAGTGACCAAAAGCAAAGCATTTGAAACATTGAATAATATTCAAGTGGTTACTAACAGAACATCTTTGCCACCCTATATAAATAAAGCCAGCATTAACTGATTTTTTATGAAGTGCTGGGGGAACATCCAGAACATAATTGTAAAATTTGTCATTTCGGCGATCTTTCAGTTTGATGACTACTTTTACATCGGACTTTAGATGTTCACAAACATCATTCATGGAGAATATATTGTTTATTAACTTTTCATCCGAGTCTAAATCTTCACTGATGCACACATTTTTTATAGTTAAGCGAGGATTCAGTTTTTTCGAGGGATGATGTGATATTTGGACTCTAAACTGGTTTTTAATGCTTCTTCCAATTTCATACGATCGCTTTCAGTTCTGCAGTACACAGCAGCCCCATTCTTTATTAGTTTAGTCTTGTCGATGCAGATTTTGAGGTTGGCAGGGTTGATAGAGGCAGTGAGCGATTTCATCACATCATTATTAGAAACACCATCCTTGGACTCAATAAGGAGAACAGATGAGTCACTGACGGCAGGTTTTTTCAAAACACTGCTATAGCTGGGTGTATTTTTGGTTTCGATGTTGTTCGAAAACAGGTGATTTTTTGCAGGAGCACCACTGAGAGAAACCAGTTGACGTTCAAGGTCGCTTACCTTGGATTTCAGCAAATTATTGGTAAACTCAAATTCATCAACGATTTTTTGAAGATGTTTCTCACGGGAAATGTACTCCAGCTCCTTTTTGCAAATAATTAGGTCGACATCAGTGGCGATTTCCTTGCATATACTGGGAGAGCTAACACTTTGCACTCCGTGTAGCTTTTCCTTCACTGACCCTTTGCAGGCATCACAAAACCAAAAAACACTATCAGATTTGCTGATAACTTTGCACATTTCATCCTTAATCGTCGTACAAACGTAGTGAAGGCGACTTGAACAATTTTCGCACGTAATAAACTTCGAATTTACAATAAAATTGTCAGAGCAGCGTAGACACACGTCGCTCGCCATGGCTAGCTGCATACATACTCGACTATATCGTTAATATAGCATGAGCCAGCTTCTTCAAACAGTTAAATGTGTCCGGTAACGCATTCCAGCTAGACTGTTAGACCTTCAATATGCAACACAATTTCAATATTTTCAACTAAACTGGTGGACAGTTGCTTTCCAATATGGAAAATTTTACCGAAATTCAAATCTAGATATTTTCGGATTTTGCCCATTGTTTTCCTATTTTTTTTTGTTTTATATATATACAGGGTGACTTTGAAGTTGAGTAATTAATTTTCAGATAATGATTGTAGAAGGAAGATAAACCAAAATATGTGTGTAAAAATAAAAAAAAAATTTTACCTTGTTTTATAAAGTATCCTCCCGACAAGTATTTCAGTGCGGACCTGTATTTGATCGTGAGGTCTTGGAGCACCGGCATGCCGTCCATATGTGAGGTCTTAAGTCAAATGATTCACGAACCCGTTGACTACATTAACAAAGGCACGAGGGGTTGGTTGCACTCGATTGGGAAACCGATCCGCATAAACATGTGCCATTTTTTATTTCGTTTGAGCCACGCAATAGACACCACTATCCACTACCGACTGACACTGACTGTATACAACTGAATGAAATAATTGTAAAAACATCGTTCCAAATTCTTTCGCTTTTTTGTTTCCGATGCGATGAACCGATAAGGCGAATTATATCCGTTGTCGCCAAACACGAGTACATAATATTATTATTGAAACAGGGCGGTACTCAAACTTCCAAAGGGCTATAACTTTGTTACTTTAATTTTACCAGAAAAATGGTATAGGAAAAAACATTTCTTTTGATCAGATCTACTCTGTTAAAATAAATGACTCAACTTCGAAGTCACCCTGTATATATATATATATATATATATTGCAGAGTAAAAAAATATACAATCAGAAAAAAATTAAAAATGAAACAACATAAATTCCCTGCAAAAGGGACTAGTAAACAGACGAGCTGATCAAAGTACCAGCCCAACAAACAAAATTACAACAGAGGAGTTCTTAACCAAATTATATAAACTAATATTAATAATTAATAAAGAATAATTTCAAACGTCAAAAAAATGTATGTATATAAGATATAAGAAATTATATAAAAAATATAATTTAACGAAAAATGTCAAACCATTTTAGGCAGATGTAACAAAAAGAAACATTTAAAATATAAAAAGGAAAGGAACAATATAAAGGAAACACTACAATTCATCTAATAGACATTTTCTGTAACTTCTTTTAAAAGCCGACACAGACATAGACTTAAGGTTTGTGGGGACGTGATTATACAAGTGGTAGATAAAATGAGAAAAACATCTGTTAAACATAGATGTACGATGTCGTGGTTGGGAAATCAGTTTCCGATACCTAACATTGATATTGATATATTGATATAAACCTAAGACAAGAGTTTTGGACACGCTGTATACGATAAACATCATACCTTGTTATACAAGGCCCATAAACTGATTCGCAGTAATTGAATAATGACAGAACAAGCGTGTCACAAAGCAAAGCCATAAGTTCGGTAGAAAAGATATATCCATAATCAAGCCTAAATTCCTAATAGCGGATGTATGAGGAATAACATTATTAATTGAAATATGGAATGAATCTGCCATGCTCTTTTTGTGTTTCTCGAACAAAAAAACATTTGACTTGGTTGGATTTACGGATAACTGATGTGCTATGCTTTCATTTGTCAAATTATTAAGATCTTCATTTAATAATCTAACCGCAGTTGTATCTGTATGAGAGAACGAACATTTTATCTCGGTATCATCAGCATATAAATAAGGATTTGAATATATCAAACTATTAGTAATATTTGCAGCGTATACTGAAAAAAGTAATGGACCCAAGATAGAGCCTTGAGGTACCCCACATAGATCAGGCTTGGAAACAGACACCTCGGAAGAGATTATGACAAACTGCGTCCTCTTCGAGAAATAACTTTTCAATAGTTTAATAGCATTAACGGAACATCCCATGTATTTTAAAATAGAAAACATTAACTTTTGATTAATTGTATCAAATGCCTTTGTGTAATCAAGCAATACAAGAGCCGCTGTATTGCCGCTATCAATATCCCTGATAATTTCGTCCGAAACATCTAGAAGCGCTGTCGTGCAACTAAAACCCTTTCTAAACCCTGATTGAAATGAAGGCAGCAAATCATATTCATCTATATGAAGCATTAACTGAAATTTTATATTTTTTTCCAGAACTTTAGACAGCACTGGTAATATAGAAATTGGACGAAGATCCGACAAGCTACATATAGTGCCTTTCTTTGGCAGAGGATGAAGTTTTGCAACTTTCCAACAGACTGGAAAAGTATTTTCTATTAGGCAACAATTAATAATATGCGTTATGGCTGGTAAAATGTGCGGACAGCATAAAGTAGCATTTCAATATTAATTCCATCCGCCCCCGTTGCAAGAGTTTTTATTTCATAAAGATATTTGTAAACAATGGCTTCCAACAGGTTCAAATGAAAATAACAGCGAAAATACGAAAATTGCTTTTGTAAAAGAGAAATTTTTCAGGATCAGGATCAACATTGTTTGAGGACGGAATCAGAAAATGCTTATTTATCTCATATAAGTGGATAAATAAAAGAAATATACCGGTCGAACCCTGTAAGTGATCTCAAAGAGTTGACAAGAACCTCCTGGATACCGCAACTCGATATCTCTTTCCGTTCCAAAAATATCGATTGAATTTGGGTAGAATTTTCCATGTTGCAAAGTAACTGTCCACCAGTTTATTATAGTATAATTGAAGACTGGTGCAAAAAGGTATTAACTCAATTTTTTCGGTTTTTTAAGATTTGTAGTGCAAAAAGGTGATAAAAGGGTGCTTTTTTGGTAGCACATATGTTCCGGCCAAAGATGGCTCTCAGTTCTTAGATACAGAGATTCACAAAAGTGTGAACTATATCAAAAACTTCAATCTGTAAACTTTAAATGGTGTTAACTCTTGCATTATAGGTAAAAAGGTCTTAACTCAAGAGTCAATTCAGTTTTTGTTTAAAATGTAAAGATGTTTGAGATGTATGATCGAATGAGGAACATGTTGCAAAGTATAAAAAAGCTTTTGTCATACAAAAATCTGATCGAGGCCTAACAAAACAAACGAAAAAATCATATACCTCACATTTGAAATTTCTTCTATTTATGACAAGTATGACTCTACAATCTAGGACTACATTTGATATCAACACAGCAACCAAGTGGTAAAGTTTTTTTCCACGTCTGGACCGAAAACAAGGAAGTCGCGGTCCTGAAGAGATTGGCAGCTCACTTATGGCCTTTTTGGAAAATATCAAGGACCAAGGCATGACTTCCGATCATCTGATTGCATGGAGTGATTCGGCAGGTGGCTAAAATAAAAAAAAATATATTGTCTGTCTATGGCACTGCCTAATAATCTCTCGAGTCTTCAAAAAAATTTACCATAAATTTCCTGAAGTAGGGCATACGTTCATGGACTCTGATACAGATTTTGCAGCTGTAGAAAAGTCAATCAGCACCAAGTAATTTATACGGTGGATCAATATATTTCAATCATGGCAGAAGTCAGGAAAAAAACACCTTTTAATATTACAATAATGGCGGACAAATTTGTTGATACTAAACAACTTCCAAGGAAACTTAAACTGGTCGATAGAAAAAACTACAACTAATGAGAAATTTTCATTCAGAGATGTATGATGGATCCAGATTCAAGAATTTGGTGTAACCAAGTATACTAAGTGACATATAAATCCGAACACCCAGTTTAAATGGTTTTATTTTAATAAAATTTTGTATAAGTACTTAATGAAGCATAATAAGTAAATGATAAAAATTTCACTGCTTTAAAGCTCTTTGACCTTTAATAATGTGTGGATGCACCCTGATGTGCTACGCATTCTCCAACGCGCCTAGGCATGCTTCTGATCAGGTGGTCAATGTCCTCCTGTGGTATCTCATTCCAGGCAACCACCAACTCCTCTCGAAGTGCTTCTAGAGTCTGAGGAGGACGTTGCAAATTGAGCAATCTCCTACCCATCATATCCCACACGTGCTCAATTGGGGATAAGTCGGGAGATCTTGGTGGCCATGGTAACAATGTGACATCATTATGTTGAAAGAAGTCTATTGTGACTCTTGCAACATGTGGTCGGGCATTATCTTGTTGGAAAGTTGGATCTGCCAGGGTGTCAAGATAGGGTAAAAGATGGGGTTATAGAACTTCGTGGATATAACGCTGCGCGTTCATGTTACCTCTGATGAAGATTAAAGGTGACCTGGAACCATAAGCTATAGCACCCCAAACCATAACTCCAACAGAGTGATGAACATGTCTTTCAACAAAAAACTGTGGATTCCTCCTTTCACCACGTCGCCTTCTAACCCTGGCACGACCATCGTGCATGCCTAAACAAAATCGAGACTCGTCACTAAAGACAATACTGTTCCATTCCTGATCCCAGAGCGACCGTTGTCTGCACCACTCAAGGCGATTACGTCGGTGTTATCGAGTTAAAGGGAGGACCCAGTGTGGCCGGTATGAAAACAAGCCAAAACTTCTCATTCGTCGGTAAACACTTCGCATGCCAATAGGTCTTCCGTGTTCTGCAAACCATTCATTTGCAATGGACCTGGTAGTGGAGAAACGGTCCCTTAAGGCCAATAATCTTAGGCGGCGATCTTCACGGTCTGTTGTTCTACGGCGGCATCCAGTGCCCCTTGCTCTTTGCGTACGGCCTTCTCGAAGCCATGCCTGACAACACCTAACTACAGTGTCTACACTTCTTTGCACTCTAACTGCAATTGCCCGAAAAGAAAGTCCAGCTTCCCGAAGTCCCACTATACG